AGTTTCCTGTGTAAAGTTGCCAGGCCGTTTGAATTGGTCACTAGGTCACACATTATGGCCAGTGTAGATTCCTGAGCTCCTCCTGACTCTGGGTACTACTTTATATTTTTATTTCATTTACCTCATGTTAGAGAAATAGCAAGCTTTCTTGTTGCAAGTCATTAAAAAATATTAGGACATCTTTTATTTGATTTATTTATTTATTTATTTATTTTTGAGACAGGGTTTCACTATGCAGTTCAGACTGGCCTTGAACTCACTTTGTAGCTGAGGTTGGCCTAGAACTCACATCACAGTAATCCTCCTGCCTCAGCCTCCTCAGTGCTGTTATTACAGGCGTGCGCGCCACCACACTCAGCCTTTTAAAAGAACAGCATCTATTTCACTGCTAATAGTTAATGCTTTGACAGCTTGAGGAGTTTTCACCCCATGTTTAAGATTAACCTTTGAATGAAAAAGATAAATTCAATACGACACATCTTCAATGCTTGGAAAAATAGGGCTTGAACATTTCTTTCTGATTTTATTCTTGAATTTTCCAAATTTTGAAAGCAATAGAAGTTAAAGGGACTTTACTAACCATCATCTTGCAGATTATCATTATTCAGGGCTCTACTGTTGATTTTTTACTGTGTTTGAAGTGTCAGTCATTTATCTCCTTTAGTTCCCACAGTGACGCTACACAGAATTCCTATTTCACAGATGGGAACACAGCATCAGAGCAGTTAGAAAGTGTAGGCTGAACTCCCAACTTGACGCTGACTTTGAGGCTCATAGTTTTTCTACTGCAGTCTACTTCCTTCTTGAGCATTGTAGACGTGAAATCATATGAGGAACTGAGTATTTACACTTCAAAAGTGGTATCACAGAGAGGAAATCACAATATGTTTTTAAAAAACACTTAATGAAAATCTTATCTCGGGGAGGAGGCCCAGCCTCACTCCTTTACAGTTTGCGAGCTCTTCACACATGTGCAATTTGCAACACTTTGTGGGGAGCATTTTCCGGTAATAAGCTAAATGAACTTGCAAATGCTAAAACATTACCAGGAAAGACCAAATAGCTCATGCTTTCAATGAAGTCTCCTTACATTCCGAAAGCTCTCCGAGCTTCAAGTTTTTCCTTTGTTAGAAGAATCATTATAATTCCCAGTCATGTTGGGAAGTAATCTTCCTGGGGGTGTCTCGCATTTCTGAAATGTCCGAAAACAGAGGCACTGCCTGCCCTCTTCCTGGGTGGTAAGCAGCCTTAGGTGATAGTGTAACCCTCGGGAAAAAATAACAATACGCTCGCTGTCCATGTTACACTTAACTTTAGGCGGTATTCTTCTCCTGTAATGCAACCTACTGTGTGTATCAAGTGCCATCTGACTCTCTGGTAATTGAAAAAAAAGTGCTGACACTCTGGTCACTACTATTTCTGTGGGTGATAAAGTTCTTCATCTCTGACCCAAGAGTCTTATGTCTTTAGCCAGCATCCATAAAACTATAGCAAACTAATTTGTTAGCTTGCAGTACAGTACAATCTCAGTACTCTTTACAATTCTTAACACCTCATATAAACTGTGACGATTAAATGGGATAGCTATACAAAGACCTTGGGGATTGGCATATAGAAAGTACTAAATATATATGAGCTGTTGATACTGTTACCGCTCCAGATAAAACTAAGCCATAATTGGTTCATAATAATGCAAGTGTATTGGTGTTTTGCATGAATTAACTCAAGTTGCTTTTTTTCAAGTGCTAATTCATCTAACAGTGGTATTCCTTTTTAGTTATGCTCCAGCTAGCTCAGCTAGAATTCCTGGAGGGTCAGGTAAACTCCGTAAAGACTGAGTTCATGAATATTTTGCCTCTTATACCTAGGGCAGGTGCTACACAAATAATTCTGAGGGCACATTTTTGGTGTAACTTGAATACAGATTTTGCAATAATATAATTCAGTGTTGCAGAAAAATTAATAAGCCAACCAAACAAGTGGCATTCAATAGTCTGCCAAAATTTAATGACTCAAAAACCCCAATGCCTCAGTGCCTATAGTTCTTTATGTACTTGATCTAAGGAACACTAGAAATATGATTTTTAAACCATCTGTGAGCCATATAACTTACTAATACAAAAATGAGCTAAGAAATACAAATGATAATGTAGCTCTGATAACGGTGGAACCCGTCTGGAATTCCTTCTGTTTCTCTTTGAATCTTAGCCATTTACTTTAGCTCTGCCCTCAGTTATTGAAAAAAAGAGGCTTTCTTTGTACTAACGGTAAATTGGTCATGCTCTTTTGAAGGTGCTTTAATTTACATGTTCTGCCTTCAGCAATTCTAAGACTGTCTTCTTTAGGGTTATCATAACAGCCACAAGCCACTTTGGGCTTCTGGTGTCACTGGTAAATTTTCCTATCAATGGATTAGGTTTGCCTTTTTATTAAAAGTGAGTTGTTTCATGGATAAAAATGGAAAAGAAATGGGGATTTACAAAATCTCAAAGTGTTTGATATTATAAGTAAATAAATACATATTTGTTACAAAGAAAAAACTCATTTTGTAGTAGAGAATTCTGGAAGAGACAGTCTCTGCCAAGATTAACATTACCAATAATAAAATATATTTACATCATGTACCTTCTGAAACGGTGCAGTGGTAATAGATATCTTGTTTCTGTGGCACTTTTTAAAATAAACTCTAATCTCAATCTAAGCATGAGAAAGTATCAAGCAAACCTAAACTGGGTAATATACTAAAAAATAACTGACTCGTATCCTTCACAAGGCTCAAAATAATGAAAATGACAAAACTAAAAAAATATTAAGAGTTAGATCAGAGTAAACTAGCAAATATATATAGAATCCTGAATTGGATCCTGGCATATTTTTTTCAAAGAGGATATTAGTAGAAAGACTAGATAGAATCCAACTTTCATAGACACCTAAGTTAGGTAGAAATATAGGCAGTCAGACAGGAGTAGGCCCTCAAAGGAGTTCGTGCAGAAGATGAGAACACATTGTAACTGCGAGTGGAGGTGCATTTGTTGAACGCCAGGCCTCAAGATGAAGATGGAATGACTACATCTACGTACTTCCATAAGTGACAGATGATAATGATTGATGCTCTAAAAAGGCATCAGTCACCTGGGTATAGGACCAAAGCTGCTTGACCCATCCCTGCCAGGAAAGGTCCTTGCTTTTCCCATATGCACTTGCTATGTGCTGGCTTCCTCACTGGACCAATATTATCTAAGTGGTTATATTTGTAATATTCTTGGTTGCCCATACTTTTGTCCCACCTTGTACCCCCCCTTGTAATTTTGTACCCACATCGTGGTTTTGCTCTATAAAATCTTCTGTGAGAAGTGGGCTCCTGGGGAACCCACTTTTCAGGTCCCCTTCTATCTCTCTTAGGCAGAAGCAATCTTTTCCCAATAAGTATTTCCTACTTTTAACCTCTGTTCCTTAGAATTCATTCTTTGTTTTGTTGTTTGTTTTTTTTTTGGTTTTTTTTTTTTTGGTTTTTTTT